ACTGGGGGGGTTCAGCCTGGAGAGAAGGAGGCTGAGGGGAGACCTTCTGGCTCTCTCCAACTCCCTGAAAGGAGGGGGTAGCCAGGGGAGGTCGGTCTCTTCTCCCAAGGAACAGGCGATGGGACAAGAGGAAACGGCCTCAAGTTGCACCAGGGGAGGTTTAGGATGGAGATTGGGAACAATTTTTAAACAGAAAGGGTTATTAAGCCTTGGAAGAGGCTGCCCAGGGCAGTGGTGGAGTCTCCATCCCTGGAGGGATTTAAAAGCCGGGCAGACGTGGTGCTGAGGGACACGGGTCAGTGGTGGGTTTGTCAGTGGTGGGTCGATGGTTGGACTCCATGGTCTGAAAGGTCCCTTCCCACCCAGACACTTCTCCAATTCTGTGCCCCATCCCCTCCCAGGACACAGGCGGACACAGCAGAGAACCACAGCCAGGGGACAGGCCAGGCTGCCAGAGCAGTTCCCACCTGTACTTTGACCTTCAGCCATCTGTTCTGGAGATGGACAAGAGTTTAAAGAATTACCCCTTCTGGTGTGGTTTTTTTACTTCTAAAGTTTAGTTAAAACATTGCATTACAGGGTTGCTGAAATGTCAATTAAAGAAGCACTGTAATTCCTAATGCTCTGGCATCTGGTGTAGTAGATCCTCTTCCTGCTGGGAGTGGCAGCGATGCCGGGGGGTATAAAAGCATAAGTACCAGCACAGGCAGTTTTGGGGCACTGGGCTCTTTATTCCTGAACTTCAAATACAATACAAGGTGATGCCAGGTTTGAGAGGATGCTCCTGAGAGACCGCGTCCTGGCCCTGGGACAGCCATCTCGAGCTCATGGAAACTTCAGCACAGCAGCAGGAGGGGTAACAGAAGAGTGAATTTCCTCAGCCACAGGCTTCAGTTTAAAACTGCAGGCAACTTCTTTTTAAAATGTGTTTCAAGAGCGAGCCACTGGTCACTGGGGATGTGAGACTGGTACCTCCTGGTAGAGTGCCCTGACTGGGGACCGCGTGTTGGAATACATCCCCACTGCAGGCATGTTTTACACAGCTAGAAAATCTTGTTTGTAGCTTTGTGGTTAATAATATTATTAAGGGGAACAGCCCACGTTCTCACCTCCACCAGGACTAAATCTGGACAATTGGTCAAGGCATGGACATTTTTATTTATCTCTCTGCAGATACATCTTTTACACACAGAATCTTCATTTCAATACGAAGGAGCTAAAAGGGAAGGCTAGTCAATGTGAGCTTAATCATTGGCAGGGCTAAATCCCAACTGAGGTGAAGTGAGGGGGAGTACCTGGCACGCCGAGGGACTGTGGCCTAAATCGCTGATAATAACTACATACAGAACTTACAAAATCGGAGATTACGACAGGTGCTTAGTTCATCCTGTCTAGTGTTCTGAGCATGACCAGAGCATGCTAAAACCTGCACGCTGCTTGTCTGCCCTGCCCATTTCATCCCTTCAGTTAATAAATACTATTCAAATACTGCTGGAGGAGTGATTGCTACATGTAATTAAATCCTGTAGCAACTCTCCTGTTCAAGGGCAAAGAGAGAAAAGCGAAAAATAGCAAATGAAATACATTAACCTTAAAAATGAAGCGTGGATTTGGAAGGTGCTTTTGAAATTAAATGGTAACAATAGCCCTTGGCTGCCCTCAGCTTTGATGGCCTTAAAGCAGCATTTCCTTTAGCATTACAACATGAACGGTTGGGCTTTGTCTCAGATGGCTCCAAGGGCACATCATACAGAAGGCCAGTTGTTAACAGCCTGTGCAGGTACAGCACAGAAGAGACCCCTAAATATTCCATAATGTCAATTTCACACAAGCAAATAAAAGCTTTGGGCTTTATGTCTTTTGCCCCTGCTCTTACCAGCAAGAAAATCTCGCCTCATTGTGAAGAAGTGTCAGTGGAATGCTTTTTACAAGGAAAGAGAATTCAGGAGGAATATACTGCAGGGTAAGGAGCAGCCAGCAATTATTGTGGGCCATGCTGAATCAAATCCTGCATTTAGGACACCTGGTGAATTTTTCCATGACTTACACAGGAGCAGGAACAGCTTCAAAATCTCCCTCAACTCTAGATTGAAGCAGTCACAAAGGAGTAGTTAAAAACACGTTCAAGCTTCAAACTGTGAGCAGCAATAATTTGTGTTTTAATGCAAACATATTGTTTCTCTAAGTTTAGATATACTTTCCAAGAGTTTTATCAGATTTTTGAACTGTACCCGTATTTCTGGAGGGGTTTGGTTAACTTCCTTTTCCCATTGTGTTCAGAAATTGGAGTCAGAACATTATTTACATGACTTTTGAGCACATGCCCTGTTTACACGTGCAACCCTGCCCTCTCCATTTCCTCAAAAAAGCAAGTGTAGCTTTAATAATGCAAGTAAATAATTTCAAAAAAAAAAATACAGGGAATATGTTATTACCTTTTATGATGCCAAGTTAGGGTTCCACGTCTCTTCCCCAGGCCCTGATAACATCGCCAGCGCAAACACAGGAAAGATCATCCCAGGTTAGGGGGGGTCAGTGACACCATCCATCCTGGCACGACTCATGTCCTGGCAGGCAAGTAAAAGAGAGAAAGGTCAGATTGCTTTTTAAAGCAAAATCGTGTTTTAGCTATTTAGAAAAAGTTAAAGAAGATTTTAAACATGAAAAACGCAACGTTAATGCTCACAACAGTGACAATATCTGCCTGTTTTCAAGGCTAATCACTAACACAACACCTCCGCCCCTCCAGGGAGCAGGTCACCTCCCGGCGCTTACCCACTCCACAAGATGGGCTGTTATTGGTCCTAAATTTTCTTACAGCTTCAGGAAGCGCCTTAAATCATCTCCTAAAACTGCAAAGTTATGCTCATCTTGGTATTTCCAGCCCAGGAAGAGAAGCAGCAGAACCGATCAGAAAGCGAATGTGAGCACTGGACACGGCACGGTGAACATTTAGTAACGGTCCTGGGTAACTGCACTCAAAAGAAACAGTTAGTTGTTTGAAATTATTTATAATCTAACTCTCTTGCCAATATTTTTGAGGTTTTATTTGCAAGGCTGAAGAATTTGGGATGCCTAACAGCTTCTATCTGGAGAAAGTTGCATGAAAATTAGAAAGTATGAAAATACAGCTTAAAAAAAGGACGCCAAAGTGATCAGCGGAGTGAGAACACATTTATTGACATATCGACAGGCACCTGATGAAACCCTCCTCTATGAAGGTTCCTAACAGGCCTCCCTTGATCTATGCTCTGCACTGAAATGGAAGGGAACATTTTTATTTTGCATTAATATGCTGTTTCCAAAATAAAAGATTCCTTCAACCAGATAAGCATTTCAATGTGTTGATTTGCAGCTATTTAATCATAAATACAAGGGTCAATTTATCAGGAAGCCTTCCCAGGTACAGAGCAGATCGAATGTAACTCACACAAGCCACTTGTTTCAGATTCTAGAACTATCTTATCTATTCACATCTTTACCAAGTGGTTTGGGGTGGTTTTTTTCAATTCAACTATTGGCTATTCAATTTTAAATTAAAAAAGTCATTGAACTAGAGTGGCTCAATACACTATGACAAGAAACCTGAAGAAGAGTGCAAAGAGACTCTGTTTTTATACCACCTGATAGATTGTAAATATTAAATATTTATACTAAAATCTATCCTTACCCACCATGAATATCTAAATGAAATAGGCATGCAAAATAAATCCTGACATGCCAGCCCTTGCCATTCCATTTGCTCTTTTTAAACTTACACATCTTCTGGCATGATCAGCACTTATAGAAATGTTTTCTTGAGTCTCCAGAGTATCAGTGGTTTGAGATGTTATTTTAGGGGTTATTTTAGACTGAACAACACAATTCAATCCTCCTGTGATCGGGGACAGACACCTGTGGTTATTCACCATTTAAAAACCAGAGGCTTTGGAGAAAAAAGTGATTTCCATCGCCACCTTGTGCCCAATACAGACAACGCCAGCTCTCCCAAACCACCCACCCAGCGCCGTGGCCACGCTCGGGCACCCACTCGCCCTTGCCCCGCGGGTGGCCAGGGCCTGGGAAGGCTCCAGCCCCCTCCCCCAGCTCTCAGGAGCTCGCCAAGGACCCCCTCTTTGGGGGAAAAGGCTGCAGGAAAGGGTACTGTTTGCCCCCTGCAGTGGGGCGGCTGCCATGGGGACCCATTCTAGAAGGAGCTCAGCCCCACGGCAACCAGCAGCGCCCAGCGTGGACCCCAGTGTGGACTGGACCCCTCTCCCACGAGACACAGCATTTACCTATTTCACCAGTTTTTGGTGTTTAAGTCTGGGACTTGTGTTCAGGACCTGCCACTGAAAGCAGGTGTGACCAACAGAGATCTTTTTTTTTCAGGTCCCATTTTTTTACCAAATTCCACACCTCTCCTGACTGGACCAGAACTAGAAAATCAGTACAATCTCCAGTGAATTAAGGCTCTAACTTTAAACTCTCCATACCTTGACCAGGTTAAAGGTGCAGGAGTTTTCAACAGGAATTTGTGATTGTGGAGCAATTCTGGGATCTCCTCTAATCAGCTCGGTATCTGCTTAAACACCTTTACGATATTGCTCAAAGGAAGCAGTAAAGATAAAGAGAGCTTCGAGATTATCAAGATAAGATGTAATTATGCTCACAACATTAATATTTAGCTTAGTGCTCGCGCACAACAATCTCAGCAGAAAAGGTGAGTTGTTCATGCACTCGCAAGTTCAAACTGAATAAACCTGAGGATTTTTGTAAGGGACTTAACTTAAAGAATATTAGAAATAAATACATCTTTGTGTGTTAACTTTCCTCTACCATGTGCTGAACTAAGTCTTCAATCCTTCGTCCCTCACCTCAAACTCTTGCACCTTTGCTGTTAGCAAAACATTGATATTTTTAAATTAGTGACTAAAGGAGGGTGATACTGACTTAACTGCGCCTTGGAATTACGAGTGGTTCATCCTTCACTCCCTTCCCTCAGAGCCCAGTGAGTACAAATGCCGTGTGGAAAACGCCTCGGAAATATCTGGCAGTGTAAGAAGCCTGACTGTCATCCTGCAGGGTAAGGAGTCAAGGGAAGAGGAATGTTCCTAGTGGGGTGGGCATCCATTCCGGCTGCCTCAGCTACTCCTCAGCCACCTGGATACCAGAGGTCATGTAAAATTTTAGCTCTGTTTTGCTAAAAAAACCCACAAAGAGATCATGATAGTAACCTTTGATGGGCTGGGGTCTCTGTTGACTGCTCAGGGAGCTGCCCATAGGTAGCTCTGTTACTACAGACAGTGTGAATACTGTCCTCCAGAGGGTAACAACTTCCTGTGTGCTCAGGCATTAAGAATAAAGCTTGACTGACAAAAAAAGAACCACCAAAGGGATTACACACAGAGAACCTGCCCGAATCTCCCTCATTGTAACAGTAACAGCCAGCTGTCTCTGAAGTTCCTTCACAGCGTACATCCCTCCCACCTAACTGTGCTGGCCCAAACCTCTTGCCAGAAAAACTGCAAATCATTTAGAAGAAGCCATTTCTAATGTTTCTTATCCTTTTCCAGCCCCTGGGATAGCAGGAGCCAAGGGGGAGTTAAGCAGAACCCCAAAAGTCATCACCCTGGAATGCTTTGGTCTTCCAAACCCCGTGCGAGTGGACGTGCTGTACTGGGAGGAGGTGCACAGGGATCTGACAAACCAGACAGCAGAGAGGTGCACCCTGCAGAGCCTGCGAGTCGCCGCCAGCGCAGACAGAAAACCTGCTCCTGGCCACACATGCCTTCTGCTAACACACCACCGAGACAACCCTCAGAGAAAACTTATCTTTAATGAGAAAGGTAAGAAGTTCAATGTAGCAAATCCATGTTTGGGTATGTCAGAGGATGGCAGTCTTCGATTTCATATACCTGATGCTTAGCAGTTATTAAAAAAAACCTATTTCTACCTTTCTATTAAAAAAGATAACTAGGAGAAAGCAACGATCCAGAACTTAACACTACTGAAAGCTTCAGGCTTTGGAACAATTCCATGCTGTTGTTTTCCCTTCTTCGGGGAGGGCCAGGAGGTTTTGGCAAATATAGGTTCCAATATTAATACATATAGAAAATTCTGTGCATTGGGAAATAGCACACAAGCAAGAAAATTAACTGTCTCTAGTACCTGACTGCAAATCTCCAGGTACACTGCCACCTCTCCCCAACTGCACCAGCCTGAAAGTTAATTCTGGCCTTCCCCTGCTTCTGGTTCTTCAGTTTAATTGGAAACAAACATCTGGGTTTAAAACTTCCTTTTATATTTCCAGTGTTTCAGGCAGGGACATTGAATTACGTTACAACAACAAATCTGCCCAAGCTGGAAGTTTCTGGAGAGGGTTTGACCGTTCCACACGTGCACCAAGAAAAACAAACCTTAGAGGGTAAGTACCAGTTCTCCCTGCAGCGTCCCCGAAGTGGCTCCGCAGCAGATGAGAAGGACAGAAAAAGATATGGCTTTCACACACACAACTTTGATAAAGTTCTCCCAAACAGCAATTTCTCAGCCTTCTACCAATAAAGGCACTGGCCCAGGTGCTTTGTGACTCCGTGGCTGTAACGAGAAAACAGGACATGAGCAGTGACTTGCACAAGTTACCTGTGCTCGAGTGTGCCCCACGAGGGCTCCCAGCTTCCCTTAAAAACCTCACCAGATTTCAGCGGGACATTACAAACCTTACAATGCACCAATTTGAAATACTTTAAAATAAAAAGTCTCTGAGACTCTAGAGAGATTTACAGCTTCCTGTGAGAGCCTACAGGAGACGGAACTGTTCCTCTGCTCCGGTCCATCTAACTTAGCCCAACCTAAACCTGAAACGAAGAAAATTTTGAACTGTCAGAGACTTGTAAACACATCTGAAATATTCTTCTCTGTCTCATTTTAGAGAGAATTCCATCCTCAAATGACAAGGACATGCTGAACAGACGAAAGATAAGCATTGTCATTAAAGTGTTCATCGCTTGCATCCTGTTAGCCTTCACAATACCCTACATCACCTTCTGTATTTGTGAAATTCCCTGCCCGGTAAGTTTCTGAAGGTGACAGCTTCTCACCACAATCCCCCACAGGTATCTTTACAGATAGGGACAGAAGCTGGTGCTCAATACAGTGAGATGAGAAAGATACGTGGTCTGAGGTTTGCAGACCTCCTGAATTCTCTATTATGATGACCACAACCATCTCCCAAACTGGATCCACCAGGACACTGCTCTTCCTAGAGGAAACCTTGTTCCTTCTCCTCAGTGGAGATGAGCAGCAGAGTAATTCACTAGCTCCCTGTCAACCCAGCTACCACTGTATGAGAGACATGGCTAATTTTTAGTTGCAATCAACTGTTCCCCAAATTACTGCTGTCAATGTGAGGCGATTCTGTCAAAAAGCAGCCCAGAATAACCCTCTGCCAGCTGGGAGAGGTACCCCTGATGCCAGAGGAAGAACAGTTTAGGGGTGCAAGAGAATAGGCAAAGCTCTAAGAGGCCAGGTAACCCTTCTAGGCTGCAGGATGCACTATTTCAGCATGCTGGCTGAGGACATATACAAGAGGGAGATGCTGAAAACAAAAGACATCTGGGGATGCAATATGCTGATTTACTTTTGTAAAGCCATATTACTTTGACACCTAAAAATTCAGCAGCATTCACCATGGCCCCTCCAGAAACATACAACCGTTAAGTTTTTAGCACTGGTATTTCCCACCATCCCCAACACTCCCCTAACTGCTTTTGCTTCTTTCCCAAGTGCTTGTGCTCTGCCAGGATCAAGAGCTTATGGAACAGCAGCAGGAGCTGGCTGTTGGCAGCCTGCATCCTGGTGCAGGACAGGACAGCAATGCTTTTGAACAAGCTTCTTAAGGACAAGGAACAGGAGGCGCTGGAAGCTCTTGTCTGACTCTCTCCATCCCTTCCCCAGGTCAGTGTCAACCAGGTTTGACCAAGGGATAGCGGGCCTCAACGCGAGCAAGTCTCCAAGTGAAGACTGGGTTAGGTAGTAAGGAGACAGACCTATCCCTTCCCCTTCAAAAAATTAAATATCCCTCAATTATTGAGGTGCCTTTTCATGAAGAAATGATTTAAACTTGTGGTTCCTACCCCATTAAGTGAACTTCTGAGGTTGAACAGTTAAAGCTCTACTCCCACCTCTCACTGCGACTTGGGATCAAGTCACTTAACTTCAGCTTATCCAGTTACTTGTCTGTCACCCAGCTCTAACTGCTGCCCTGTTAGTGGGAGCAGGGAGCTTAGCCCCGTCGACACGCCAGAAGCCCTCTGGATATTACACACACAGAACAAACCGCCTGAGAGCATTTCATTTGCAGAAATTATCAGTAAATAATTTCAAACAGCAAATGAAAATCACCTCATTTGTTAAAACTTCTGAGGAGAAAAAGGCAGCATATGAGCACATTACTCATTACAAATTATCCACTTAGGTCTTTTTGGAGTGTAACCGTAGTGAGAAATGTGCTGTAGTGAGAGGTTTGGAAATTGAACTGAGACCCTTAAGAGCCATTTCACACAAGCCATTGACCAGCCGTCTGGTGGTGACACCTTTGGGCCTCTACTAAGCTGAAAACCACTTAGACAGACTTGAGACAAAAGACTTTTGCTCTCGTCGTTCCCTCTAGGACACAGGAAACGTGCTGGAAGTTCAGTTCAGTTCAGCCAGGAGGTGTCGCACCACTGAATTACTGATCTAAAAACACCAGCACTTACGCTGCCACGCGTGTGAGACCCCAGCAGTACGGCTCTTTAACATTCCTCATGAATATATTTTCTTCCCTTGCCAGACAGATGCATAATAGCAAGACCCTTAAAGGAAAAGATCCAAAAAGTCATTGTCATCCATGAAACCTACCCATGAAAAGCCTCAGAGGAACACCCTTCTTACCTGCAAAGATGCGTCACCTTTTCCTCACCACTTACTGGAAACAGCAGAAACCAACTTCTGAGAAGACACCCATATGCTGATTCCTTCCATTAACTACCCAGATCATTATTTTAATTCCCAGATACAGGAAAAACCTGTTAGCATAAGCAATAAATATTCCATTGATATTCCAAACTCTGCCTCTCCTAAATTCTTAAATTTTTTTCCCACAATTTTTTCACATGCATTTTGGGGGTGGGAAAAATGAAATGGAAATAATTTCCAGTAATTTTAGTCTCGCAGTTAAATAGTTCAGACAAGGAGCATACATTCAGGAAACTCATCCTAGAACACTAAACCTTCTCCTCCAGCCTCACCAGGAATAATGCAGGTATTAATTATTGAGCTTTAGCCTTTGCCTGGGTCTGAGTAGGTGCACATTTTCATGTGCTGATACAAAACGAATCTCTGATCTATCTGCAATGTACTTCTATCTAATGCAATCTTCAGCTCTCAGATATGAGCTGCCAAAGGCTACATCTGTCCGCTACAGAGAACAGCTCTCATCTCGAGTTCCCATGCAAAGGATTAAATGCTTCAGAATCTGCATAAATGAACAGAAGCAGCCTTCGAGCCTCGCAGTGAACATCCTCCACTGAGGCAGATCCTGTTCGTCTAAATCAGGATCATGCACGCTCTGAGGGGCACCAGAAGAATTTCACACAAAATTGCAATCTCACAACAGCATAAGGAAAACACTGCACCAAAACGGTAACAGGAGGAGATTTTGTGGAAGGGGTAAGGGGTATGGAATCACTGAGCCATGTGCAGGAGACACAGCCCTGGCCGTGAGGTCACGTTTACTGCAAGAACAGCATCCAAGTATAAGCAAGTATTTGAAATCCATGAAATACCAGTTACATTTGCCAGCATCAGGGCACCATAAACATACAGAGAATCCACTTAATATCTCTGTTAAACCACATTTTAATCACACCAGGCTCTGAATGAGTATCACATCCCCACGGGGACACAATGCAGCATAAGAGGCCACCACAGAGGTGAGGAGGTACCATGAGGTGCACACTCCACTGTGCTGGGCAGGCAGTCTAATGCAAAAACAAACGCAACTAGCTAAATCATTCCCAAGCTTTAGGGTTTTATGCAATGCAAGACTCCTTAAGACCTATTCAAATCCCTCTGACGGGATGTTCTCAACAAGGCCAAGCCCACATCTGCATCTAGTTCACAAGGACACCCACAGTGTACACAGGAGACAGCCAGAAGATCTCAAAGGCAGGACAGTGCCTGCAGGCAGGCAGTGGCAGGACTGGAGAGCCCTTTCTTAAGCATCGTGGTTTAACCCCAACCACAACCATGCAGCCTCTCACTCACCCCCTGTCCTTCCCATAGAGTAGGGAGAAGACAGAGAAAAGGAGGGGAAAGGGGGAAGAAAAACCTCGTGAGTTGAGATAAAGACAAGTTTAATAGAACAATAACAGAAAAGGAAAATAACAGCCATAATAACGGTAAGAGAATATACAAGAAACAAATCACTCTCACCACCTGGTGAACGGGCACCATCCTGAGCAGAGTGTGCAGGGTCTCCCCCCTCGGCTGACCCCCATTTCTGTATCAAGCAGGACGTCTATGGTGCAGAATATTTTGTTGGCCGTTCTGTTGTTCTGTCTGTGCTCCTTCTCAGCATCTACCAAAGCTGAAAAAAAGTCCTTGACTAGCATGAACATCACTTGGTGACAACTGAAATGACAGGCATTACTGACATTCCCTTCACGCCGAAATCTGAAAACAGAGCAATGGCTGAAACTGGGACAGAAACTCTGCCAAGATCATAGAATGGTTAGAGTTGGAAAGGACATTAAAGATCACCAAGTTCCAACCCCCCTGCCCTGGGCAGGGACATCTCCCACTAGAGCTGGTTGCTCCAAGCCCCATCCAGCCTGGACTTGAACCCCTCCAGGGATGGGGCAGCCACAGCTTCTCTGGGCAACCTGTTCCAGTGTCTCACCACCCTCACAGCAAAGAATTTCTTTCTAATATCTCATCTAAATCTCCCCTCTTCCAATTTAAAACCATTCCCCCTTGTCCTGTCACTGCACTTCTTGACAGAGTCCCTCCCCAGCTCTCCTGTAGCCCCTTCAGATATTGGAAGACTGCTCAAAGGTCTCCCTGGAGCCTTCTCTTCTCCAGGCTGAACAACCCCAGCTCTCTCAGCCCTCACTACCAAGATGTGCCTTCACTACCTCAGAAACTTAAGAGGATGAACCCGAAAAGATGATTTCACCGGCAGGAGCCATCTGAAAGCTGATTTATTAACTGCTGCGGGCAGTTTTAGCCGGAGTACCCGCAGCGGGGCACAGCGCGGTACCACAGGGCTGCGGTACCACAGAGCTGCGGCCCTCAGGGCCTCCCCGTTACACACTGCGACCTGTGCCCACCAAACCGACGGCGGACAGGGGGAGGACACCGGTGGCAGGAGGATACCGGTGGCAGGAAAGTGGGATATAGGGAATGGGGATGGGATATGGGAACGGGATATGGGAATGGGGATGGGATATGGGAATGGGGATGGGATATGGGGATGGGATATGGGGATGGGGCAGTGGGGCCTGGGCATGGGATATGGGGAGTGGGGATGGGATACGGGGAGCGGAGTTATGGGGGAGTGGGGACTGGGCATGGGATATGGGGAGTGGGTGATGGGGGAGTAAGGTTTAGGCAGTAGGGACGGAGGAGTGGGGTTTGGGAATGGGATATGGGGGAGTGAGGTTTGGGAATGAGATATGAGAAATGGGGACAGCTTCTTGGAGGCGCAAACCACTTTCTCACGTAGCAGCTCTCCTGAGCTTTCTGCTCAGCACATACACTCCCACTGAAACCCTCGGTTCAGCATTGGCTCCTATCCCCATCGCTTCACATCACTTCTTAGGCTGTATCCCATCTCTCCACGTTTGATTTCTTCTCATACACAGAAAAAAGACTCTCAGCCCTGTCAAATGGTCCTTTTGCTTTTGTGTTCAGGTCACTCTTGGAGGATCTCATCTGCGAGGGCTGTGGGAGAGACGTCTGCAGGCAGAGAATACCTTTGGCACACCCGCAGAGAGCCGGGAATGGCCCCCGGGGCCCGGCGGGACCCCTCACACCCGCGGCCCCTCACCGAGGACCGGCGGCCATGGAGGGGCGGGGCGGGCGCGGGGGCGCGCGGGGCGTGGAGGAGTGGGGTTTGGGAATGGGATATGGGGGAGTGAGGTTTGGGAATGAGATATGAGAAATGGGGACAGCTTCAGAGGAGTGGGGTTTGGGAATGGGATATGGAGGAGTGGGATATGGGGGAGTGAGGTTTGGGAATGAGATATGAGAAATGGGGACAGCTTCTTGGAGGCGCAAACCACTTTCTCACACAGCAGCTCTCCTGAGCTCTCTGCTCAGCACATGCACTCCCACTGAAACCCTCGATTCAGGATTGGCTCCTATCCCCATCACTTCACATCAATTCTTAGGCTGTATCCCATCTCTCTGCATTTGATTTCTTATACACAGAAAACAGACTCTCAGCCCTGTCAAATGGTCCTGTTCAGAAGGCTGCTTTTGCTTTTGTGTTCAGGTCACTCTTGGAAAACCCTCGGTTCAGCATTGGCTCCTATCCCCATCGCTTCACATCACTTCTTAGGCTGTATCCCATCTCTCCACGTTTGATTTCTTCTCATACACAGAAAAAAGACTCTCAGCCCTGTCAAATGGTCCTTTTGCTTTTGTGTTCAGGTCACTCTTGGAGGATCTCATCTGCGAGGGCTGTGGGAGAGACGTCTGCAGGCAGAGAATACCTTTTTAGGACACACTGGTTGGGACAAGACTTACAAAGTTTTACTCAGAGGAACAAGAACACCACTAAGGGAGAGGAATGGAGCGTCTGGCCTCCTTCAGTAGTAAGTACCCTAAGATGACATTTCTTAAAGACATTAGCAGCCACCTGGGGTCGGGAGAGAGAAAGCTAGCAGTATTTGGTCCACAGGGTTGCTTCTTTAATCAAATTTTCAAGAGCACGAGTAGATGAATGATTCATTGGGAATTCAGATCTTTTTTTCCCCCTACCTTTTATAGTTGGGCTAGTTTTTCCTGGAAAAATACGTGGCTTATAACTTGACAGCCTATTTGTTTTGACTGCTTGGCAATGAGCAAAATAAGAAAAACTTGCAGAGGAGTGTTTCATTCCTTGTTCAGCAACCTGAGCAGAGGCTGAGGTTTGGACAGGTTACAGAACAATCCTGTCCATGCCTTGGCAGCCCCAGCAATACACTGTACGAGTGGGACTTGAGGTGGATGGATGGGAGACTGCAGCTCTGGGTGCAGTATTCTCCACAAAGAAGGCCTTGGGTCTGGGCTTTGGTGCAGAACACGAGCAGGTCACTGCTGGGCTCTACCAGGAGGCTGCCATTGAGAAGATTTTCCTTTCACTCTTTTACACAAGTTTAGGTTTATCCCTCAGTGTCTAGCAGAGATGCGGTGCCAAATCTCTTATAACTCTTGTTGAACACGGAACTTTTAACAGATATTTGGAGAAGATGCAGTAGGAAAAACGTCATAGACAGTTGAGCTCGCTTAAAATTACAGGGCACAAGTGAATTTAGGTGATTGCTAAACCAGTGCCTTGTTTGTGTTGCGTGAGATTTACTTTTGGCTTCACAGATGACCCTTTTGATAAGCCCCCGTGCCGAGGTTGCTCTTCGTACCTCACAGAGCCCTACGTGAAGTGTGCAGAGTGTGGGCCTCCTCCCTTCCTCCTCTGTTTGCAGGTGAGTGCAGGATAAAAGCAGGATAAAAGCAAAGGCATTAATTTCTTTGCGAAAGTCATCAAAAGCCTGTCCGGTGCCCAGTTGTTCCATAAACACATTAATAACTGGTCTCTGTAAACTTGTATCAACACACTTATTTGCTCAGGGACAGGGAAATGACAAAGGAAACGTTGGAGGCTGAAGAGCTGAGGCATGAGCAGCTGAAGGAGATCTTTGTGAAGGCAGCCAAAGCCACCTGAAGACATGCAGTCATTCTGGCTGCGTAACGGAGCGTGCCGCTGCATGTCTGGAGAGGTGTCGTTTCTATGGCATGGAAAAGAAAAGCCATTGAGAAACACCCTTTTCCTGTCATCACACGTTGGCTTTTTCCTCCCAAGTGGAAAAGAAAACGTGGAGGAAGTTTGCAATATTGACAACAATTGTTTGTGACTGGATATGGTTCTTTAAAAATTATGTGTGTGATCTGATAACCGCAGAAAGTACTGCTAGTTTTAATTATTAAATAAATAAGTTTGTATTATTTATGATTAAAAAATGGCAATAACCTCTAAAACTGAAAAAGGAGATTAGCCTTATGCTCAGAAATGTACAAAATACCCAATACAAAAATACGGTTTTGAGTATATCTTTGTTCATTTACCTGTACTCAAAAAACCAGAAATGTAACTGTTGAAAATAGCTGCAAACCATGCTGGTGCTTTTTAAACAGAAAACCAAGATTAAAGAGAAACTGTGTTTTCAATACTTAAGAAATGCTCTGCTCTCTTCCTGGAACCATCTACTTCAGAATACAGCACCAAACTTCTTCCACCTGCCTGACTTTGCCTTAAATACTTAATTAAAAAGTTGTCAATTCACAGGAGTTATGTCTTGGTGCAAAAGACAAATAAGATACAAAGACAGATTTAACACAATTTTAACAAAGATTTTTCTACCATTTTATGCTTTTTCTATAACAAAATCAGAAAAATCGAGTATCTTTTTCAGCCTATCAGGTGGTCAGTTTTGGATACCCGCTTGTCAGACAATAAAAAGAAAAAATGGACGAGTTAAAATGTTTTCAGGGCAGAAGGAAGAGACTAACACAATGCTCATCTTTTGTTCTGCAGTGTTTCACACGAGGATTTGAATACAAGAAACATCAAAGCGATCATACTTATGAGATAATGGTAAGTATTCCTTTTAGATAACACCTACTCAGTCTTGAGCTTTCATAACTTCCCAGGATTTAGACCTTTGCTTCCTAATATTACATTGAAAAGTTAAGTGATACAACTCTTTGATTCGGAGGTTTAGAATTATTTATAAAAGAAAAAGCCCTCCTTGAGAGCAAAGAAAAATATCCACCTGGAACATAATGGAACAGTGGGAACACTTAAAGCTACATTTTTATATTGCCCCTAGATATCACATTGTATCTCACTAGACTTCTAGTTCTTTAACCATGTGAATCAACCTTTGTGTCTCTATTCTTGTTTTTTCTTCCCCCAAATTAATAATTCTTTAAAGTTTTCAGTAATTTTTACCGTGTTTCACAGCGTAATGTTGAATTACAGCTGGTACATACAACTTGTAACAGTAGATTCAGAAGATCTGTAGCAACAAACTAGTTTTTACTGTAGCTGATGACCCAGCAGCATAAATAATTCAGCAATTATTTGATCAGGTTTCATGGCAAACAGTAAAAGTTTGAAACTGCCGGTATTATATACTATATTGCTCTGTAATTTAGAACTTCTTTGCTCTTCATGTGGTGGATTGTAACAGAGAATCACAGCAGTTTGATTTGCTTTTTTCTTCTCTAGACTTCGGATTTCCCTGTCTTGGATCCCAACTGGACGGCTCAAGAGGAAATGGCTCTCCTAGAAGCCGTCATGGACTGTGGATTTGGAAACTGGTGAGAATTTAGTCCTTCAGCCAACCTTAGTGATGGGTAGTTTTTCCTCTCATTTCACTGGATCTTACTGTTAAATACATCAGTGCACATTTACTGTTCAGTGACTTATTGTGGGTGAGACACTAATTTAGCAGCTAAAGTGGAAGACTGGGATAGCAGATTCTATTTTCAAATCCGCTCTTAGATATACAAGGAAATTGTTAAAGACTTCTTGTGAGATGCAGGGCTCCTCCAGTGAAGTACAAAGTTCCCTTGGTTTGCATTAAAGTCGCTGGGTTTTAAAGGAACTCAACTACTGCACAAGGTTTTCTGTGCCTCAGTCTACTCCTATGTAAAAACCAGCTACAGAATTTCTTATCTTGTGTGGTTTTGGTTTGCTTACAGTTGACTAAGTATTATCTTTGAGGATTTCCTACTTCTCTATTTAGGATAGAGCACTGGAAATACTTAATATTTTTACATTAAGTTCTGTTAATTTCTGTAGTTGCTACAGGATTTTTATACATTTGTAAATAAAGGAGATCTGTAGTCATGAGTTCTCTCTCTTCTTCATGAAAAAATAGCTGTACTAAAAGTGTAGAACTCCAGACTTCACTGAAACAGAACTGTGAGTTCTTACATGTACATTGCTGTCATAATTAAGACTGAAAGCTGGTTGCAGTTATGTTCTCCAAGCATGCTGTGTAGTACACTTTGCCCTACTTAGCAACACAACTAATCTTAAATTTTTCCTTAAACACGTGGCTTTTTTCAGCCTTTCCCAAATAAAGGAAAAACTGACTTTTCTTCCTGGAATCCCTTGCATGCAGTTTTTAGTTTAACAGAAATTAAAATAATTGCTGCTTGTGGATTTGGGGTTTTTTTAAGTTCTCAGCATACACAGCCATTTTATTAAGACAAATACTTCACGTTTCTAGTCAATCACCTTTCCAAGAAAGTTTGGCAAAGATTTCTAAAATGTGTTTTGTACAACCATTTCAGTTTTTTTTTCAAAAAAACCAGACTGTTTAATATCACTACATGAAAGGGGAAACCACTGTCCAGCTAAAATTGCGAGAGAAACTTGAGAAGCAGAATGCAATTCCAGACTCGGAATTTACCATTAGCCAGAGTTAGCAAAATGTATAAAAAGCTCGCAAATAACAATACTAAATTTCAACCCTGTAAAAGATTTGGTACGTGCCATCAGCCAGGGAGTTTCTCATGTAAAGACAGTGAATTGCATTATTCAGGACCACCAGAAAAGCGCTCCCTAGCACTGTATCTAACATGTAAGTATTGGCTCAGTGATGGTAGGCAAAATGTGGATTCAGACACTGTCACAGATCAGTTCCCTGCACACCACGCCATCAGTCTCTTGTCCAAAATTATCTTTTCCCACCAGAGAAAGGCAAAAACCCTCAATATTTCTGTGTTCTTCACATTAAGCCTCCCCCTCTCTCCCCTCCAGGCAGGATGTAGCCAACCAGATGTGCACAAAATCCAAGGAGGAGTGTGAGAAACATTATATGAAACACTTTATCAACAATCCCCTGTTTGCATCCACGTTACTGAACCTGAAGCAGGCGGAGGAGGCGCAGCAGAATGAAATGGCCATTCCTTTCCACCGTGAGTATCCCCTGCCCACCAGCTTCCCCGCAAGGTCTGGGCTCTTCCAGAACTGGAACGAGCAGCTTTTGGAGAAAGGCACACAACACGCCTGCAGTTTGCTTTCCTTCCCAAAAGGAGAGCTTGTTCTGATGGCTAACTTGAATAATGTTAGTAGTAGGGTTTTCCTCACCCTGTATTAAGTCACTGGAGTATCAAATAGCCAGGACTGGCAGTTCAGTGGGGAAAGCGAGGGAACAGAGAGATCTGATACAGACAACAGCTCCTCAAAACCAGAAGTTCCTGCACAGCCAGTGGAAACGGTCACTCACAGAAATCACCACAGAAAAGCCTGGGTACATGTATTCATTGAAAGGACACGCTGCCTCAGAGCTGCTTCACACGTGGCACGATGTAACAGCCTGTCCTTTGTGGTAAATACCAGTGAGAGCTCTCACCCTGATGCTGGGGGGTTACTTTCCTTCTCCAGACCCCGTGCAGCAATCTTAACAGAGAAGGGATTTTGACCTTTAAAACATTTCATCTGATTATGCACTGAGTACCAGGCCTAACTGTGATTTGTCATAAAATCGTTCCCTTTAACTATGCTGATCGCACACCTCTCTCTTTAAAACTGCCTTTTTAAAAGTGTATGTTTAATTTCAGCAATTTAACACATTTTCAGTTTTCCATAAATTTAACATCTTCAGAATTTCCCCAGTCTATCAGCTGTTCCCTTATAAAGCTCCCCAGAATGGCTGGGGGAAAGGAGAGCTTGGTATCTGGAGGTTTAAATTTCACGATAATGCGGTTAGAGCTAAAGCAGTAGGAACTGGACAATTTTGGTTCTGTCCCTGGCTGTCATTGATTTTTTTATGTGACCCAGGCCAAGACAAATTCTCTATGCCTCAGCTTGCTTTAGCCATACCATGGGACTTACAACGCTTAGCTCCTTCACAAGTGTGCTGGGAGCCTCGGTCCATTATTGTCAGTAAAACACTGAGCTCCTCAGCTGGGAAGTGCTGTAAAAATTGGGAGCTGTGTGGCTTTAATTGCAGCGCTCTGGAAACGGCCCCCAGAAGATGGCAGATTTAACAGCCCTGTTGCTATTAACTAAAAGAACTTGCACGCTGAGAGCCAGTGAGCTGCAGAGGTTTACCAGGGGGATGCCGAGCTCTGAAATGTAGAGTTTGCATTTTATAACCTATTTATTACCTTGAATTTCTGTGTTTGACTTCTGAGAATACTGTGAAAATCTCAGATTGCTGCGTTTTTCCTCTGGATGAGCTCAGGCTTTTTCTGACTGTAACGCTGAATAAAAGCCCAATCAGGGTGTTTTTCTTCAACTAATTATTCCCACTCCTCCTGCAAAAGAAACACCTATTTACGAATCGTTAAAAAAAGACCCCCAAGCCCTACACAACAACTAAAAACCTTCATTTTTTTTCAGCTGCTGACGATCCCCCACGGCCTACTTTCGATTCCTTGCTCTCCAGGGACATGGCTGGGTACATGCCAGCCAGAGCCGACTTTGTTGAGGTACCACTCTCTCTTCTCCCATCATTTTAAATTTGCTACTGAATGCACGATGGGCAAACACACGCTTGTTTGCCCCTGCCTGTGGGTCTGCACTCCTCATGTGAAAAAAAACATGAGAAGAGAGGACGGGAGAGGGTGATTAAGCCAAGGGTTTAATTACAGAGGTGGCGCTGGAAGCCTGCGAAGCTGCCAGCAGCCATGGGTGCCTGTGTGCAGGGGCTGAGGCTGCTGCTGCCACCAGATGTCCCATCATGAATGGCTCTTGACGTAAGCGGGCTGGATGCTGTGAATTAGATGTTTAGCAAAAGGGGTCAGCTTCAGCCTGCTTCTCTTTCATGTGCCTTAGGGAAGCACACAGGAGCCCCATCCAAAGATGGCTTGAAAGCCCTGCATTGTTTGCGGTGTTTTTAGCTGCGGGCCCAGGGCCCCAATTCCTGTTGCAAAACAAGCTCCTCTACATGAAGGAATGAATTCAGCCATACAGGGGCTCCTTGGTTTTGTACGTTTGAGCAGAATTTCCACCACGGTGCGGGAGTCATGGTGATTACCTGATTAATTCTCATTATCCTATCACAGCATCCTGTTCCACTTCAAGCCATGGGGGTGCACCTTACACATTCCCCAGTTAGAGCTCCCCAGTGATGGATGTTGCTCAAGGCTGGAACCTTGTACAACTGTCTATGAGTAAATATCTCTGTTTTCAGTACTTCTATGTGTACTGAAACTCGATACCAGTTTTTTAGTGCTAGTTAATGACAACTCATTAATCACCTCTGAACAGGAGTTTGACAACTACGCTGAATGGGATTTGAGAGATATTGATTTTGTAGAAGATGATTCAGACATTTTGCATGGTAAGTCCCATGTTTCTGTACATTGTCCAAAAACAATGTTTCAGCAAGGCTACACAGCATTTCATTCAGTCTCTCCTTCTCTACACGCTTTTTAAAAACTGAACATACATTTTTAATGATCTCACTTCTGTGCGCCGGGATTTAAACACTGGCATTTCTATGGTCCTTGCTTTTAAATTTCTTTTAAAAGCTCTTAATCAACTGACATACAAATGGTATTTATATATGGAATAATGCACTTCACTCACTGCTGAAATGTAGCCAGCTGTGAAGTAGAACATGACTGAAATCAAATAGTGTCCACAAGTAATAGGCACCTCTTTAGGAAAGACACAAATGATGTTTTATCCAGTATAAACTCTAAAGAAAGTTTAGCTAAGTAGAAGCAAATTACCAGAGATAGCAGTTTGTCTGGAATCAGGTAGCAGTACGTCAGTGTGTGAATAAACAGACCTACAGGCCTATTAAAAAACAGAAACATCGAGGTCTTGATATTACTTCTTCTCCCTGGCTGAAAGATATTCCTTCCATTTATAAAGGCACAAATTTTGTTCTGATTTAGAAAAATTAACATGTTTTTCTCTGTTGCTAATACCCCTCTCCCTTACTATATTTAGTTTCTCAGAAGATGAGTCACTTATTCTAACCTCTGTTAGCTTAGGAAATCTGATATCAGGATGGGGATTAATACAGGCAGCAAGGAGGTATGTAATTTATGTGCAACACTTTGAAACTGTTCTACTCTTGAAGTTGTGTGGTTTTTCACGCGTTAAACATGCACAGTGAGTTATGGTACCATTAGGGAAATATGACAACTTACTTTTTTATCCCGAAGAGGATGGTTGTTGTATGAGTCCAATTACTGCTCCTGAGTTTCTGTGAACGTAACTGCCTTAATAATGCTAAATAACAGGAATTATTAAAATGACACATTAATCCATAGAGAAGAAAAGATCATATTTTTCCCCACATTAATAAGTACAGCATTTAAAAGTACTGTGTTTATGCTTCAGAATTCTCCCATCTATGTCAGGCAGTTCTAAGCTAAAGCCTTAGCATCCCGTGGAGACAGACAAATCCTGTTACGTACAGACAGTCTTTCCAAACTTAAAACATCAGTTTGAAATTTAGCAGTGTACACAGAGCTTTAAGGAATGCAAACTCCCTTGGCTCAAAAAAGGCTACGAGAATCATATGTCAGTCTCTCTTCCCTTTTAACATTTATTGAAAGGGGGACTGGCTTGTGGACATGTCACAGATTCATCATGCCATCTCTCTATCATTTCTCTTTTTTTACTATTAAAACATATATTTTCTTACGTCCATGTCTTATTCTGAGTCCCGGTAAACTGAAAAAGCAAAATACTCTCCTAGATCTGTTTGTTAGTGGAAAGTTTAATATTCACTCAAGCTGGTTTACCAGCACCGTCTTCCAACCCCTGACACGTGTCTTCCTCCCACTGCACAGTTCAGCCTTTTAATGTGTCTCCCACCACCCTCCTGCTTAACTTGTCGATCTGAATGCACAAAATCAGCTTTCCTCCTCTCAGAATATCATAAAGCTGTGCAGGGCCAGCCCCTCTGGTCTGTCCAGCTCAGTGTCCCATTAGTATCCCATAGCAGACGCACAAGAGAGAAATGGAAAAGAAGGTAAGTACAGGCAGATACTTCCCCTGGCACATCTTCCACATCTCCTGCAGTAGGAAGTTTAGAGACTTCTTCAACCATAGGTTGTGTTCAGAGCATTTTGACCAAAGAACCTGTCCTCCATGGACCTAGCTAACTACTGTTACAACTCTATATATTTGTACTTTTGCCCCTATAACATCCTGTAGCAGTGAGTTCAACAATTGATTTAGGAGTTCTACTAATTTAATTATGTGTTGTGTGAAAAAATACTTCCTTCTGTCTGTCAAATCTTTTGCCTGATAATTTCACTGGATGTTCTCTCGTCCGTTCTTCAGTTGTCTTCAGTATTTAGTATAGGCTGTCAGGCTTTTGTCCTGTGAAAACTGTTTGGCAGAGGTTATGGAACATGACCAACTACATTTTCAATCTCTTAGCTCAGGGGCTCTGGCAGCTTCCTTCCCACAGCTGTCCTACATCTGCCCACGTGAGAGAGAACACGTCAAAAAAATGAAGTCCCAGGGTCTCACCAGCTGTTTTTCTTTTACATGAGACATCCTGGGGAGAGAAGGAATTATTTTCTAAAAGGAACTTTGCAATCAGATCTTTCCCTTCTCCAAGTTAATACAAAAAAGGAGGAGGCACATCCTCCCTCTCCTGCAGTTTTACAGATCTCAGGCGCTGACTTCACTTGAGAATATTTTGCAACCTCATTGTAGGATTTCATACTGTAGAAAACGGCTCAACAATTGGATCTGAAGGCAGGAATGAGCTATTGGATGATTTAAGAAGCCTTTGTACTTTCTAGTTAACAGGAGAGAAGGTTGGGGGCAGCCCTGGGGCTTGGGCTCTCCCGGTCTCTCCCAGGGGTGCCCGTCTCCCTACTGCCAGGCTCTGACCTGCCTCTCTGCCCCAGCCCTGCCCATGGGCAAACTCCTTACACTCCATCTTACAGAATTGTCCTTGAAACACAGCCTGTGCCTGGCTTCCACACCTGCTCCTCACACAGTTTGCAAACAACTTTTTTTTTTTTTTTAAAGGTAAAGATGTAAAACGGGGTTTTAACACTTTCATAGCCCGGAGAAGCCCACATGGGGTCTTGCAGCACAGGTTTGTGAAAGATCCCTCAGTTTTTTTTTCTGCCATGCATTAAACCTCACTGAGTTCAAGCTTGATTTTTGAAAACTACTTTTATATTCCATTTTCTGAAAGTAACTCAAGCTAGACCCTGAGAACACACCAACCAGAATAATTTCTATGGTCTCTCTTTCTTTCTTTTGTTTCACGAGTCACAGATCAGTGCTGCAGTGTCTGGGCTGCACGTTATCATGGGAATATTTGATGCTTTCAGTGGAACAGAATTCCCCCTGCTTCACTTTCCCCCCACACTGCTCTGCTTTTCTTGAAATTTTGTAAAAAATCATTTTATAAGAAGTTCCAGATCTAAGCTACTTGACCTCCGTTTCCTGGTATATTTTCCCTGTTACATTCTCCTGTGTCTCTCTAAGCAAGTTCTTAGTTTTTCCACAAGAAAGAAGAATACAATTTAATACAAGGTGGAAAGTCAGTCTCCCAGGCAGCCTTTTCTGAGGAGCACAGAAACCGGTACCTGCTGACTCAGCAGCTCCTCCCACCACACAGGAGGTCACAGATGTTGTTCAGCCACTTCTTGATATTAGTGAGATGGTAAAAATTGTATGAAATCTCTCATATTTCAATTAACTTATCAAACTTACACAAGAGTAAGTGTATGCACGTACATATTGCAGTTAAACAAAAACATAATGGGATAACTTCTATGCAGTAGTTGCAATAGAATAAGTGTATGCACATACATATTGCAGTTAAACAAAAACATAATGGACAGATCAAAAGAAATAACTAGTTACAAATCTCATTCAGCCCAGAGTGCCTGAATATTTCATGAATTACAAGTTTTCATCAGACTGAATTATAACATTAGTAGTTTATCTTCTTCTAGGCTTTTTCTCCCCTTCTCACATAAATGATTTTTACCTCCAACACCAGGAAGTAATTGCTGAAACCACGAGTTTAGAAGCGAGTGGAAATAGATAGACTGTGACTCTGGCTGTAGCGTAGTGAAATTATAAGATACAAGGCAGTCAGTGTCCTTCTAAATATTACATGATGTTTATTCCTTGGGGGAAGTTCCTGACATGCTCTGAAGGCAGATCCTCTGTTTGCCTGGGGTCCTGCTTTCCTCCAGGGAGGGTGGATTTGGATTGCAGCCCCTGAGTTAGTACCAGCCGAGGCACACACTGGACACGCAGCCTGTTTACTGTGATTAGTTTGCATTCTTCCCATTATTTGGGCCTTGCATGCCAAACAGAGGTTAGCCAGCCTCAAACAAAGGTCTCACTCATTAGCGCTCAAAAAAGTTTTTGCCGACCAAACGAGGCCAAAGAGGAATGAAAAGCAAAGAAACTGTTTTGGACACATGCTCTTGAGGAACCAAAATATTTTGATTTTTTGGGATGGAGAAAGGAGCCTTGAATTTCTGCCTATCGCTGGATCCTCCAAAGCTACCCTGATCGTCTCAAAGAACCTTATCATACCCCAAACCAGACACTCTGAACGTGGTGTTGGCTTGGATTATCTTAAGTTACAAGTACAAACAACTGCTTCCCGAGTAGAATCCATGGGGAAAAGCACAGGGAAATCATTTTCATTCGTACAGCATCTCTTTGCTCATTTCAATGCGGCATGTAACAGTATAGTAGTTTGAGTTATTCATGCATTCCAGATCTTGTAATCGGCTGTTCCTGTGTGAATACATCCATTAAAAACAAAAGCCCCTCCAAAAGTGCATGTGGCAGCAAATACTAATTTTTCTGTAAGCAGAAGCTCCATTTTTTTCCCTTCATTTGTTCCCATGAACGCTCCTTCCCCTCCCCAGTTGATCATAATTTCTTTCAGAATATTGTGCACTCAGGTGAAAGCATCAAAATGCAATGGTTATAGGTGCATAATTACTTGTGATATTTATAGAGGTTCTCCAGTGCAATTTCTGCATGTACTTATTAAGTTCTGCCCACACAAACCCCAGAAAATAACACGTTAAGCTTAGCTTGCAGAGGGTTTAAAAATATAAAAATATTTTCCATAAACTGGCACCGATTCCAACACTAAGTAAGGTATTTCATTCATGCCTAACTTGCTGCATTTCCCACTTTCTTGTCCCCACATTTAAGTAAGAATGAGAATTCGCTACCTGTGCTTATTCTTAAATTAGGAAAATTAAATACCTTTTTATGAAAATACATAATGATCCTCAAACACCCTGGTTTTGCCAGAAATTTGCACAAAGAGGTAAGAATATTGTACCACCCCTCTTATCTTCCCACGTAACCTTTTGCTCCCAGATTAACATCAAATTGGGTTTGTAGAAATTGATGATTTTTTTGGCTAATACAGGATCAGCAAGTGTAACCCAGAACTGTTGGCTCCTGGGCCAGTAGGCACAGCCTTGAGGCTTTAGCTGGCCCTGCTTATAAGAAATTTTATTACCCAGAGGACTGCACAGATGAATTGCCTGGGGGGCCGGGGGCTTCCTGGTGTTTACATATAAACACATATTTTAAAACAGACACATGACCACACTTCTTTCTTAATTGCATTATTAATTATTTACTGGAGAGCGCAATCAATGAACTGCCAGGATCAATTTTGCTCTTCTCTTGTAACTACAGACCCAGGAGTGGATTCTGGATCCTGTTGGGTTGGGGCCACCCCTGTGTGTGCCAGGCAGGGGGCTGAGTGGCAGAGCTGCTCGTTGGCCCCATAAACACTAAACCCACTGACGAGTCTCAAACCTCCCTCTTCTGAGAGTATATCAAAGTCATTAACGTCAAGGGAAAAAGAGCCAACGAAGAAATCAGCCAACTCTATGCTTATCTAACAACCTAGAATTTTTGCATTATTTAACAAAGTGAAGGAAGGGAAGGTGATAGGTGTCTCCTTATCCTTTTCTTTCAAGAATTTACCAAAAAAAAAAAAGTTATTAACCTAATGGTTACAGGAAAAAGAAGCAGAAGGATCTCCGAGTGGATCAGCCAGACTGCAGACAGATTTGATTTCGAAAAGGATATGATTTCTAATGAGCATGGCTTTTTCCTGTGCTTTTTCACATTGTCCTGAACTATTCTCTTTGTTCTTCTGGCAGACAGATAAGTTTAGGAGTTAACAAGCTAAAATCTTGTAGATGTTTTTTAGAACTGTAACAAAGGCTACTCTGGATCCTCACAGTTCAGAACCACATCTTCCTATTTTTTGGAGTTCCTTGCTCTGCGCAAAGAAGCCTTTGTCCAAAGATGATCTCTCAGATCGTTAAATCCAATAAATTTCCTTTTCAGGAAAAGGAATACGTAACAATTGCGTGTATGGGGGAAAGAATAAGTGCTAATTAGTGAAACAGTCCAAGAAGGAAGAGGAAAAGAGTTCTCAGGCTCTGCCTAGGTTGATATTTACAGGTGTACATTCCCCAGGTATTTGGAAGGAGTAAGCAAAGGAAAGCTACTATGGGTACCATGTATAGTCTCCAGAAAGGGAGCCTCTAGGCAATTTATGCCCCTGTCAAATTGCCACAGGATTTTTAAAACAGCAAAGCAGAGTGACCGTTTCAGCCTACCATGAACATAAAGGCTTGAAAATTATCCTCATGCAGTCATAACTTATGTATTCTGTAATCTTTTTCTTTTTTTTAAATATTTTCCAGCTCTGAAGATTGCAGTTGTAGATATTTATCATTCCAGGTTAAAGGAAAGGCAGAGAAGAAAAAAGTGAGTTTTCAAGCAACAACTGTGTTCCTTTGCTTCGTTACCATGTTTTGTTCCTCCCTGTTTTCCTGTTACTAAACATAATTGATTTCCTCTAGCACCCCTCCAGCCCCTCCCCATGCACAGAGACCTCCTGCTATCAGATTTGCTTCGTCTTGGATGTGTGGTTCTCCTGGGCACAGATTAAGATCAGGCTTTAGCAACGGTACCAGCCCAGAAAACACTGATCAACAGACCATGATACTTATTTGTACACATGGTTGGCAGAGGAACTCTCCTTTAAACTCTCAAAACCAAATCATTAATTGTGAAAAGTCTATTTTCCAGACCTTTTTAGTGCATGAAAGTCATGTACACAGTTGTCTTCACATTACCCTCCCAAATCCATTTATACTTAATAGCTAAGCTTCTAGCACACCTGATGAGATCACGGAGCCATTTTGCAGAATATGAAACTGAAATACTACCTGGGAAACCGGTCACAGATCCAGGACTAGGAACCAGAAAAAAAAAGAAAAAAAAAGGCAAATTTCTGGTTTATGTAAGGCTAATGGACTGCACATAATTCATTTTCTACTTTAGAGAAAAAAAAAAGGAGCTGCCAGTCTGTGACTCATTGCTAGACCCCCCACTTTCTTCATAGAAATGGTTTGCATCGTTATTTTTAATTCCTAGTGGTCTATAAGTTCGTTTTCCACAGTGTGTAATGAAGATAACTACATTGCTGACGTGAGTTTGAATAATTTATTCAGCTCATTTGACAGCTTTTTAGAATGACTCAATCTATTCATTAAATTCAATTTTATTATAACTTTCAAATACTTTGTTCAATATTTAAAATTATATCTTGCTGTATTACTTTCTGCTGGAAGAATTAGTGATTCGGATTAAGACTCCTCCATTCCTTCTCATAATACAGCATAGTTCTGCTAAATGACAGGTAAAAGTTGATATGTATTGACCTGGTTCTTTCTAATTCATAAATAAAATAATATTGATGTGGTATAATTTCCATTATGATAAATCATGTCATACTAAAAGAAAGTGCCATGAGGGTCAGTTACATAAATCAAACCAGTGTCAGTTTTTGAAAAGTTTCTACAGCAGGATGGGCCAAAGATCTGGAAAATGATATAAAAATGCTGATGTCACTCTCGGAAAGTCTTCTCCACATGGGACAGGAATAGTCTTTTATACACAGTAAAGAAAATGTAATGGAGTTTATAGAGCAAATTCCAACTTGACTTTGAGAAGCCCAGCTTTGTAATATCTCTCATCATTTGCAAAAGTCGGGTGTTTATTGAATCACCACGTAGCAATGGCCACATGACGTTTGCTGAAACCTGTCACAAACCTATGTGTCACGGACTTCTAAAATATCTTACCTGCCTTCTCACTCTGCTCATTTCCCTCGCCCTGTCAGGAACATTTCAAACTTATGAGTTACCTAAATCAGTTTCCTCTTTTAAACTGTCATGGAAAAATTCCTTCCTCCTGCTCCCCGTGGTGAAATTTACAGTCCCTCCCTCACCCCTGCTCCAGCAGGAGGACGTTTGTCTCTCTGAAGCTGGAAATCATTCTCCCTGAGACATTCCTGTACCTCCAGTGTTGGGAAGACCAGTTGCAAGACACTGTAGATGAGAAATCTGTGCCTGAAGAAGCAATTTCAGACCTTTAAAGCGATTGTAGCTCCCTAGTGCTAATGCCCAGCACTACCCCACATTCACCCCTGATTAAAGCCACGCTGCGTCACCACATCATGTTTCTCAGCTGGCCAGATCAAGGGTTATGGAAATTTCATATGCATTTAGTTTTAGACCCCTCTGATGGTCTAAATCAAAGTTTCTTCTGAAGCCTTTGTATTTATGAGCTAATACACGAGTTAATGCCTTCTAGTAATACCATTTTGCTCTCAATTACAGAATCATACGAGATCACGGCCTAATCAACCTCAGAAAATTTCAGAGTGAGTATCGGGTGTAACTGCTTAACTTTAAAGCAGCCTCTACTCGGGAAGCAAAACTTTGCCTGTTCACTGGTTCCAGTGCACCAGTGTGGTTTGTTCATACTGGACCATACTCAGATGGTTGGAATTCCAGCAGATTTCCTGCCCCGACTGTTTCCAACCAGCTGGCTCTAACTTCTCCCTGCTCAGTGTTTTAGTAATTGCCTCAGAATTGCTCTTCAGAAGCATTTTGGGCTCCACTGAGTAGGGAAAGAGGTGAAGGAGAAACCTAGGCCATTGAAGTGCATCTCACTATTCTAAACAATGATCAAACAACACTTAAATATCATCCTTTTTGCCTTTAGAATTTTAAGGGCTATCTAATTTTGTTGCTTTTTACTCATCAGTTTGTAGTTGTGACACCAAAACGGCCAAGAAGTGAACCAAATGTGGATCTTTGGGCAGTTCAGAAGCTGGCAATTAGTTCAGGCTCCACTGAATTTATTCTCACAGTAATTGTGGTAACGTGTGTCACTTTTTTCCCCCCTCTAGTTTTGGAAAGGCGATATCCAAAGGAAGTTCAAGACCTTTATGAAACAATGAGACGATTTAAACGGGGTTTTAACACTTTCATAGCCCGGAGAAGCCCACATGGGGTCTTGCAGCACAGGTTTGTGAAAGATCCCTCAGTTTTTTTTTCTGCCATGCATTAAACCTCACTGAGTTCAAGCTTGATTTTTGAAAACTACTTTTATATTCCATTTTCTGAAAGTAACTCAAGCTAGACCCTGAGAACACACCAACCAGAATAATTTCTATGGTCTCTCTTTCTTTCTTTTGTTTCACCAGTCACAGATCAGTGCTGCAGTGTCTGGGCTGCACGTTATCATGGGAATATTTGATGCTTTCAGTGGAACAGAATTCCCCCTGCTTCACTTTCCCCCCACACTGCTCTGCTTTTCTTGAAATTTTGTAAAAAATCATTTTATAAGAAGTTCCAGATCTAAGCTACTTGACCTCCGTTTCCTGGTATATTTTCCCTGTTACATTCTCCTGTGTCTCTCTAAGCAAGTTCTTAGTTTTTCCACAAGAAAGAAGAATACAATTTAATACAAGGTGGAAAGTCAGTCTCCCAGGCAGCCTTTTCTGAGGAGCACAGAAACCGGTACCTGCTGACTCAGCAGCTCCTCCCACCACACAGGAGGTCACAGATGTTGTTCAGCCACTTCTTGATATTAGTGAGATGGTAAAAATTGTATGAAATCTCTCATATTTCAATTAACTTATCAAACTTACACAAGAGTAAGTGTATGCACGTACATATTGCAGTTAAACAAAAACATAATGGACAGATCAAAAGAAATAACTAGTTACAAATCTCATTCAGCCCAGAGTGCCTGAATATTTCATGAATTACAAGTTTTCATCAGACTGAATTATAACATTAGTGTAGTTTATCTTCTTCTAGGCTTTTTCTCCCTTTCTCACATAAATGATTTTTACCTCCAACACCAGGAAGTAATTGCTGAAACCACGAGTTTAGAAGCGAGTGGAAATAGATAGACTGTGACTCTGGCTGTAGCATAGTGAAATTATAAGATACAAGGCAGTCAGTGTCCTTCTAAATATTACATGATGTTTATTCCTTGGGGGAAGTTCCTGACATGCTCTGAAGGCAGATCCTCTGTTTGCCTGGGGTCCTGCTTTCCTCCAGGGAGGGTGGATTTGGATTGCAGCCCCTGAGTTAGTACCAGCCGAGGCACACACTGGACACGCAGCCTGTTTACTGTGATTAGTTTGCATTCTTCCCATTATTTGGGCCTTGCATGCCAAACAGAGGTTAGCCAGCCTCAAACAAAGGTCTCACTCATTAGCGCTCAAAAAAGTTTTTGCCGACCAAACGAGGCCGAAGAGGAATGAAAAGCAAAGAAACTGTTTTGGACACATGCTCTTGAGGAACCAAAATATTTTGATTTTTTGGGATGGAGAAAGGAGCCTTGAATTTCTGCCTATCGCTGGATCCTCCAAAGCTACCCTGATCGTCTCAAAGAACCTTATCATACCCCAAACCAGACACTCTGAACGTGGTGTTGGCTTGGATTATCTTAAGTTACAAGTACAAACAACTGCTTCCCGAGTAGAATCCATGGGGAAAAGCACAGGGAAATCATTTTCATTCGTACAGCATCTCTTTGCTCATTTCAATGCGGCATGTAACAGTATAGTAGTTTGAGTTATTCATGCATTCCAGATCTTGTAATCGGCTGTTCCTGTGTGAATACATCCATTAAAAACAAAAGCCCCTCCAAAAGTGCATGTGGCAGCAAATACTAATTTTTCTGTAAGCAGAAGCTCCATTTTTTTCCCTTCATTTGTTCCCATGAACGCTCCTTCCCCTCCCCAGTTGATCATAATTTCTTTCAGAATATTGTGCACTCAGGTGAAAGCATCAAAATGCAATGGTTATAGGTGCATAATTACTTGTGATATTTATAGAGGTTCTCCAGTGCAATTTCTGCATGTACTTATTAAGTTCTGCCCACACAAACCCCAGAAAATAACACGTTAAGCTTAGCTTGCAGAGGGTTTAAAAATATAAAAATATTTTCCATAAACTGGCACCGATTCCAACACTAAGTAAGGTATTTCATTCATGCCTAACTTGCTGCATTTCCCACTTTCTTGTCCCCACATTTAAGTAAGAATGAGAATTCGCTACCTGTGCTTATTCTTAAATTAGGAAAATTAAATACCTTTTTATGAAAATACATAATGATCCTCAAACACCCTGGTTTTGCCAGAAATTTGCACAAAGAGGTAAGAATATTGTACCACCCCTCTTATCTTCCCACGTAACCTTTTGCTCCCAGATTAACATCAAATTGGGTTTGTAGAAATTGATGATTTTTTTGGCTAATACAGGATCAGCAAGTGTAACCCAGAACTGTTGGCTCCTGGGCCAGTAGGCACAGCCTTGAGGCTTTAGCTGGCCCTGCTTATAAGAAATTTTATTACCCAGAGGACTGCACAGATGAATTGCCTGGGGGGCCGGGGGCTTCCTGGTGTTTACATATAAACACATATTTTAAAACAGACACATGACCACACTTCTTTCTTAATTGCATTATTAATTATTTACTGGAGAGCGCAATCAATGAACTGCCAGGATCAATTTTGCTCTTCTCTTGTAACTACAGACCCAGGAGTGGATTCTGGATCCTGTTGGGTTGGGGCCACCCCTGTGTGTGCCAGGCAGGGGGCTGAGTGGCAGAGCTGCTCGTTGGCCCCATAAACACTAAACCCACTGACGAGTCTCAAACCTCCCTCTTCTGAGAGTATATCAAAGTCATTAACGTCAAGGGAAAAAGAGCCAACGAAGAAATCAGCCAACTCTATGCTTATCTAACAACCTAGAATTTTTGCATTATTTAACAAAGTGAAGGAAGGGAAGGTGATAGGTGTCTCCTTATCCTTTTCTTTCAAGAATTTACCAAAAAAAAAAAAGTTATTAACCTAATGGTTACAGGAAAAAGAAGCAGAAGGATCTCCGAGTGGATCAGCCAGACTGCAGACAGATTTGATTTCGAAAAGGATATGATTTCTAATGAGCATGGCTTTTTCCTGTGCTTTTTCACATTGTCCTGAACTATTCTCTTTGTTCTTCTGGCAGACAGATAAGTTTAGGAGTTAACAAGCTAAAATCTTGTAGATGTTTTTTAGAACTGTAACAAAGGCTACTCTGGATCCTCACAGTTCAGAACCACATCTTCCTATTTTTTGGAGTTCCTTGCTCTGCGCAAAGAAGCCTTTGTCCAAAGATGATCTCTCAGATCGTTAAATCCAATAAATTTCCTTTTCAGGAAAAGGAATACGTAACAATTGCGTGTATGGGGGAAAGAATAAGTGCTAATTAGTGAAACAGTCCAAGAAGGAAGAGGAAAAGAGTTCTCAGGCTCTGCCTAGGTTGATATTTACAGGTGTACATTCCCCAGGTATTTGGAAGGAGTAAGCAAAGGAAAGCTACTATGGGTACCATGTATAGTCTCCAGAAAGGGAGCCTCTAGGCACTTTATGCCCCTGTCAGATTGCCACAGAATTTTTAAAATAGCAAAGCAGAGTGACCGTTTCAGCCTACCATGAACATAAAGGCTTGAAAGTTATCTTCATGCAGTCATAACTTATGTATTCTGTAATCTTTTTCTTTTTTTTAAATATTTTCCAGCTCTGAAGATTGCAGTTGTAGATATTTATCATTCCAGGTTAAAGGAAAGGCAGAGAAGAAAAAAGTGAGTTTTCAAGCAACAACTGTGTTCCTTTGCTTCGTTACCATGTTTTGTTCCTCCCTGTTTTCCTGTTACTAAACATAATTGATTTCCTCTAGCACCCCTCCAGCCCCTCCCCATGCACAGAGACCTCCTGCTATCAGATTTGCTTCGTCTTGGATGTGTGGTTCTCCTGGGCACAGATTAAGATCAGGCTTTAGCAACGGTACCAGCCCAGAAAACACTGATCAACAGACCATGATACTTATTTGTACACATGGTTGGCAGAGGAACTCTCCTTTAAACTCTCAAAACCAAATCATTAATTGTGAAAAGTCTATTTTCCAGACCTTTTTAGTGCATGAAAGTCATGTACACAGTTGTCTTCACATTACCCTCCCAAATCCATTTATACTTAATAGCTAAGCTTCTAGCACACCTGATGAGATCACGGAGCCATTTTGCAGAATATGAAACTGAAATACTACCTGGGAAACCGGTCACAGATCCAGGACTAGGAACCAGAAAAAAAAGAAAAAAAAAGGCAAATTTCTGGTTTATGTAATGCTAATGGACTGCACATAATTCATTTTCTACTTTAGAGAAAAAAAAAAGGAGCTGCCAGTCTGTGACTCATTGCTAGACCCCCCACTTTCTTCATAGAAATGGTTCGCATCGTTATTTTTAATTCCTAGTGGTCTATAAGTTAGTTTTCCACAGTGTGTAATGAAGATAACTACATTGCTGACGTGAGTTTGAATAATTTATTCAGCTCATTTGACAGCTTTTTAGAATGACTCAATCTATTCATTAAATTCAATTTTATTATAACTTTCAAATACTTTGTTCAATATTTAAAATTATATCTTGCTGTATTACTTTCTGCTGGAAGAATTAGTGATTCGGATTAAGACTCCTCCATTCCTTCTCATAATACAGCATAGTTCTGCTAAATGACAGGTAAAAGTTGATATGTATTGACCTGGTTCTTTCTAATTCATAAATAAAATAATATTGATGTGGTATAATTTCCATTATGATAAATCATGTCATACTAAAAGAAAGTGCCATGAGGGTCAGTTACATAAATCAAACCAGTGTCAGTTTTTGAAAAGTTTCTACAGCAGGATGGGCCAAAGATCTGGAAAATGATATAAAAATGCTGATGTCACTCTCGGAAAGTCTTCTCCACATGGGACAGGAGTAGTCTTTTATACACAGTAAAGAAAATGTAATGGAGTTTATAGAGCAAATTCCAACTTGACTTTGAGAAGCCCAGCTTTGTAATATCTCTCATCATTTGCAAAAGTCAGGTGTTTATTGAATCACCACGTAGCAATGGCCACATGATGTTTGCTGAAACCTGTAACAATCCTATCTGTCACGGACTTCTAAAATATCTTACCTGCCTTCTCAATCTGCT